GAGGCGGTTCGCCATTTTGTTCGGGGCGGGCTGTGGCGTATGGTGGGCGGTTAGCTCTGCTTGGTGCTGCTGTTCCGTGTCAGAGCGGCGTGTTAGTGGACTCCTCTGTAGGAGAAAGCTTTTTGCTCTAGTAAGAAAGGTCTGCAGGCACTGGAAAGGCTCACAGGGAGGAAAGGGACAACTGCAGTGTCTTGTAGGGCAGAGGGAGGAAATGAGGCAGGTCTGAGGCAGCAGCATGAGGTGGGATGGTATCAGGGAGAGAAGATCACTGACAACATGCTAAAAGCTCCTCTATCTGAAAAAGAGAAGCAGCTAATTCTTCTTTTGCACTGCCTCCTTTCCAAGTGTTGCTTCTCAGCTGGTAGCATCAACTTTCAAAATCTTGGCTTGCTTCTCCTATTAGGAGGGACTTGCTGTGGTTTTGCAAGCACTTAGGCTTAGGTACTATGAGCATACTGTGTTTAGGACGAAGAATAAAATTAGATTAACTCCCTGAGAGTCAAGGCTGGGAAGGTGCATAACTTTTTTGTGCCCTTTTTAAAAACTTTCTACTGAAGCACAGTTTGAACTGTTAATCCACCTTGAGGAACTAATAAGTGCAATTGAAAGACTTGGTTACATCCTGTTTTCAGGTATCTTGCAAGATGGAAATAGCTGAACCTATACTGTTTGTAACAATACTGAATTTAAGATAGGAGGCCTTGCTTTTGACTATGTAAGGCATGAATAAACTTGGAGTGCAGGTGGTTAGTTTCTCATCAGAATATGCTTCAATTTGAATATTTCCAATTTACAAGGCATTAAAAACTCAGATTTCTATGTGCTTCAGTGACTGAAAGATACAGTTGAGATTTTCAATCTTTGTAATTGGTAGGGAACATAAAAGCACTTTTGGAGGGTTGCTTGCATAGGAGATTTTAATAATCTGGAAATTTAAGCTTTGTGTTACTAGGATAACTAATAAAAGGTAGTGTAGCTGAATGTAAAAGTGATTAAACTTTTAATACTATTTCCCTTATTTAATTAAGAAAGTGACTAGACAGGGCAAAGAAAAAGAAAGAAGACGGTACCTGTGAGCTTGAGTTTTGCTTTCATCAAGCATAGTGGCACTCCCACACACATGATCTTCATCCGAGAGGTCAGGTGGATGAGATACTGAGCTCTTACTTTGAGGAGCTGACAGAGCAGAACCTGAACTGATGCTTCTGGAAGTCCCACGGTGCTCAAGGAAGTAATTAGTAATAATTTCAAGGAGTGTTTTCAGTGGGTTCTCTTTTGCCTATCCAAAAAGAAAAATAAAGTTCTTGGTGACTATTGAAACTCTTTGTTAGTCTTGCTGCAGCCTAAGATAGAGTATTCTTTTTACACTGTGCAGTTGCTGAACATATTAACTACTCTATAGAATTGGGTGCCTATGGGTGCATCCCAGATGTGACTGTACAAACAATCCAGGAAACTGGAAGATGTCAGCTAGAGAATGTCAAGAGGTTGAAGGTGATACTGTGTTAAATGAAGTAAGCATGATATAGAAAAGAAACTCCTACAGTCATTCCTTATTCTCATTTTAGCTAAACATTGCAAAGTATGGTAAAGTATGGGCTAGAATACACTTCTTCCAATGTTACCTGGTCAACTTCAGAAGAATGTAGAATCAACTGCAACTATTTTTAGTACCCGGCTTCAGTATTTGTGTTTCATCAGAATTTGGCAAGAAGCATGGACTCTAGAACTCTTTATATGTGCATGAGATAGCTCTTTGAGTATAGGGCAACACCCCACCCCACTTGTTTTTCTGTTTTTCAACAGTATGCTGGAAAATGTGACCTGTGTACATGAGCATTTCATTAAAAAAAACAACGAAACAAAACACATAGACATTTAGGACTTAAGTAAAAAGTGCTACAATTTCTGCTATAGTGATGTAACTACACTGGGACATTTTTTTTCAAGTGACTTCTTACTGGACAGTCGTGCTGCTCACCAAAAGCATTGTGCTTTAAGTCACAAGTGAAACGGACATTGTCCATTGATGTCCCTGTCATCAAATATTGCTGTCTACATTACATTTTGAAGAAAGATAAATGCTAGAAGGGTAATTTTGTCTGCCATGTCTCACATAAAGTTGCAAATAGAAATGGGCATGCAAGGGTACTTCCAAAATTGAATAATCTAACTATAATGATGGAAAAGCTGTTAAAGTGAATAACTGCTCCTGGTTTGCTGGAGGTTGTAGTTTGTAACGTCAGTTCATGAACTGCCAGGTTCTCAGCTTCGTGCCATGAGCTGCAATCTCACCTAAATGTTAAGCTCTCCATTCCTCAGAGAACTGCCAGTGTGTCCACAGCACTGCAGTACTAGACATGAGCTTGAGTTCTCTGCAGTTTGAACATACACTACAGTCTCGATCTGGCTGGCTTAGTTTCATGGTATCTGATACCACATTTTGGGGAGAACGATCTGTTTCCTTACCTTGTTCTGTTTATACAAGGAGTGCAGATGCAGGACATTTCGAAGTTCATTCCTGTTGTTGATGCTAAGTGCAGAACGTGGAAGCTCTCGGTCCATGGTACTGATGGTTTTCTTCAAACCCTGAGAAGGAAAAGTGTCAGATTTTAGAATATTTGAGACAGTACAACTTATTAAGTATTTTATTCTTGACTTTGTTGGATGTAATGTGAAGGTTCTGGATGGCAGTAATTAGTAACAAGCTAACCCTTAGAATCTGTATTTGAATGGTACAATCTTGCATTATTACTGACCACAGATTTGAAAATTAAGGTGGCTACGTTGTCTGTGAGATGGAAATCACCAAACATGAAAAAAAAAAAAGACCTCCATGCAGGTGACTTCAGCTGCTGAACAGCCTCATAAGACTGACTAGTCTGTATGAAGGCCCCTGCTAATACCTGGGCTTCTGGAACAAATAGTTCCAGAAATACTGTGTTTGCTTTTTCCATCAAGATGGGATACAGCTTTTCCTAAATGGGATTCTGACTTGGATAATTTCAGAGTCTGAATGTCAGATGTACTCTAGCTCTCAGTGGATTCAGAACAGGTTTCAGAATCTTTATCATGAGTTGAAGTTACTCCGATCAGTCTGAGGTTGGAAATCAGTCAATTCGCCATGGCATCAGCTTTGGAGTCTTCAAGCTCCCTCAACTGCTTTCAATCTGTAGACAGCATACATGGGGACTTCAGAGACAAAATGTATGGACCTCTCACTTTCTGGAGGGAGACACTGATTTATTGTGAAATGTCAGAGGCAGATCCCAAACTAATTTAAGTGGTACAACACCAGACCACTGTTTTCAAAGAGAAAGTCTCAATTCCTTCTATGAAGGGTTATCGTTACAAGGGAGGATTTGTTTTTCTGCAGATGGATTGTCTGGCTCAGATTTAGGGAACTGTGGACAAGTTGTGGTAAATAAAGGATTGTTATCAGAGTTGGCTCCGATATGTAGGCAAGATTTGAGGGAAGCAGAGAAACACTTGTGCAGAAGCATGAAGGATTATCAGTGCCCCTTGTTTTGACTCCAGAGTATACAGTATGAAATAGATGTGGCAATTCAAGTATAAGTTGCTATTGTAAGCTGTATGGTCTGTTTTACCAGCAGGGCATTCCCTTTCTTTTTATGCTTTTATTCAATTTTACCTTTAAAGATTTCTAACTCAGAGATGTAAATGTCTTTCATTTGAAAAATCTTTGCAATCAGTTGAACTGGCAGACTTGAGCCTCTCATACTTCTGGCAGTAAATGGAAAATAATGAATTCTGCATCTGAAAATATGTTGGCAAATGTTTCAACTTTGTTCACAAACATTGAAAATGTGCATTTGGAGACTGGATACAAAACAGATGAAGAAAATTGAGGTTTGTGTAGCACTTAGTAAGACAGTGGCTGTTTAATTTCTGGTACAAGCTAACTCATTCCTGACACTGGGGGACTGACCGGGCTGGACATCAGCAATATTTCCTTAGGATTGAACATAAATACAAGGTGATAGGTACTTTCACCTGGAAATGTGAAGGTGCCTCTTCTTCTGCTCAATTCCACACTTCCCCACACCTATGTACAGTACCAAGTTTCCTTTACAGCATTAAGTTTGTGAAAAATAAAACGATCTCTTTCCTCCCCTTCTCCCTGTCCCCTTCCCCCCAGATAAATCTGCTGTCTTCCAAACTATTACTGAAAACCGGAAAAAAAGAAAAAAAAAAAAACAACAGAAAAAAAACCAACAACAACAACAAAAAAACAACAACAACAACAAAAAAAAACAACAACAACAAAAAAACAAAAACAAAAAAAAATGTTACCGGTTTCTCTAGAACTGCTACCTTTTTTTTTTTTTTTTAATATTTGCCCTGGGAAGTTTTATATACCTCTTGAAACGCAAGGAAAACAGCAAGATAGGTAATTAATGAGAAGAAAAAAAAAAAAGAAACTGCGTTTCTTGATTTGATCTTGGGTTTTGCAGGCGTGCATGGGTAAGAATCGGGCTTTCTCAAACAAGGAGGAAGCTGGCTTCCATCTTCAGCAATACAAAGGCACTGTGGGAAATGTAGTGCAGATACGCGACAGCCTTGGCACGGTTCAGGTCTATCTGCTTTAAGGCTGGAAGAAGTCCCCCCTCTCAGCATTCCTCACTCTTTTAGCACTTAACATTTTTCATGTGTCATTCTCATTTGTACTAGCTGGAGAAAATCGAGACAAGTTACCTTTCTACTGAGAAATTCTCTCACCAGTGATGCAGCCACTTCTTCCACAAAGGAGTTGTCCATTTTTAGCCCAAAGTGTGCTTAGGGGGCGTATTCGTTACTTCATCTAACAAATCATTCGAGTCCACCGGCATTGCGGCTCTTCGGTGCGGCTTTGAACCGCTGCGGTCGCGGGGCAGCGGCGGGGCTGTGGGCAGTCCAGTTGCTGGAGGTATGTTGCTGTGGAGACCATGTCATCGGAAGCACGGAGAGCTCCTCCCCCTGGGAAGGAAGCCGATGGTAGACTTAAAATTGAAAGACCTTACGGTGTAACACTGCAGCAAGCATCTTGGTAGTTGCTTTAAGTAACAAAATTTGAGAAAGGGATGTTCAAATCTGAGAGAGGAGACAGTTTTCTGATATTTTTTTTTTTTAAGAAGCATACGTAGTTATTTGCAACCTGTGCTAATGCAACTTGTAACCATGTATGTTTAGTAAAACTGCACTCTCATATAAAACAAACAAACAAAAAATGCAGCTGCTAAATTAAGCTTAATCTGTCATGCTGACAACATCTCGGGTGGGAACACTTATCAACTGAATCCTTTCAAATCGTGCCAATATTAGCCAGTAATGCAATATGCTAATGGGAGGGTTTGTGGTGAATAACACTTTGGGCTTGGGGATCTGATTTAGGTTAGAGAGGTCATATAGCAAAGTACCCTGCTAGGGGCAAGGTATTGTCCCAGGATGGAGATTCCACAGCTTGGGCAGCCTCTTCCAGTATTTGACCACTCTTGAGTGGGTGAACTGTTTTCCTTATCTAGTTAAAATTTCTCTTGCTACAGCTTCTGGGTGTTTTGTCTTACCCCTTTAACTGTGCCCTCTGAGATGAGTCTGACTTTTCTTTAAGCTGCATGCAATAGTTGTATATAGCATCCAGACCCTCACATGGAATTTTTTTCTCTTTAGGCTGAGCAGACACTGCCGTCTCAGTTGCTCCTTGCATCTTGTTTCCTTCAGCCCCTTAATTGCCTTACTGGTGCCTTGCTGTACTTGGTCCACTTCCTCTCTCTCTTAAACTAAGCAGTGGGGGAAGGAAAATAAAACATGGTATTCCATATGCAACCTCAGGAGTGCTTCACAGAGGGGCATTTGTGCTTTTAATAGTGCATTCCAGTATTGGTTAGGTGCCTTTACTGCAAGTGCATCCTACTCACTCATTTTCAGTTTGTCTACCAACTTTCCAAGACGCTTTTCTGCAAAGTTACTTTCTTGTATAACCAACACTTAGGCTGTATTTTTAAGTGAGTTTATTTCATTCTCATTGCAGGACTTTGCATTTGACCTTCACATCACCCACCAGTTTTTCCATATGCATGTGTAGCAGATCAAGCAGAGCACCCCACTTCATCAACTTGTCTATCCAGCACAATATCAAAACATTATTGACAACACACTCCAGAAGTCTCTTGGGTTGGTTGTGCCAGGCCACATTTCTCTTCTATGAGATGTTGAGGTGTGAGGTGCTTAAAATCCTTTGTGAGGAGCAGGACCTAGTGATGGTGAAGCTTCTTCCAGTTTTCTGAAGAAGTCATTTCTTCTTGATGCAACAGACTGTGGCAGATACCCACAGCAATGGCTCTTTTGTTGACCTTTCTTTTGGTCCTGACCCATAAGCTCTTGACTGGCCCATCATTTCTTGCAGGTAGATCTCTGTGTTCAGGCCACTGCTTTGCATACAGCACAGTTCTCCTCCCTCCTCTTGCTTGCTTCTCTTTTCTTGAAATCCCATATCCATCCAGTCAAGTGAGCTATTTTTAGCTACTTCCAGACTTGGTGGTTTGCTTACTTATGAGTTAGTTTTGTGTCTAGAGGTATCAAATGGTATACCTGCAAGAAAAAATAGCTGGGTTTTGTATAATTTTACTTGGTAGGACATCAGCTGAAATCTCAGCCTTAAGTCTGCCACACATGCATGTCAGCTCTGTGACTGACAAAGGGTGGAGTGTGACTTACTGACTAAACCCCAACAATGGAAGAATGGTCGATGGAGATGGGCAAGGGTGATGTGCCCAAAAAGCTCAGAGAATAATGCAAAGAAGCAGACTTCATCTCAACACAAAGGGGTCCGGAGGGTGGACTTTGTTTCAGATAAACCGTGATGAACAGTTGAGTGGATGAACAGGTGATGTAAATGTTTCTCCCTGAGTTCGTTAAAAGAATATGAATGTCTCCCTGAGTTAGCCAGACCAGTGTGGGGGAAGTGTATGGCTCAGCCTAGCAGAGGTTAGAAAAAGTAAACAATTGGCAAAAGCATTTTGAAGAGAGCAACTGGCTTGACCTGGTTTCAACCCACGTATTTCTTCCCAGTTACCAGGGATGCCCAGTGTCATAACAATGAACATATTCTAGGTACCAGTAGTGGGGATCATACTGGTATTGTGATTGAACTGCGTATTGCAATCGCTTTATTTTGCTAAATGTAACTTACATTTGTATTGTGGTGCTGGTATATTGTATATTGCTCTGCTAAATCAGAAATCCCATGTAACATCAAATATCTTCAAATAAGTAAATTTGATATTAAATACTATTACCCTGCATGAGTGAAATACCTAAAAGTACCTGGTCAGAAGGTATTGGACTCTGACAGGCCCTTGGAGACCTTGAGGAAATGGCATTTTACAAAAGCTGTGGTTAGTTTCTCCATATGTCTTTTGGAGACATCTGGGGAAAAGAAGATTGCCTTGCAGCGGAACTGAACTGTCACGTGCCTCCAGGATTTCAGAGGAGGTAATCTGCCATCCATTCAGTTACTGGAAATGCAAAGGGCCTGACTATCCTTGCTGTTGTCAGTACCGGCTATCTCCCATGTATTAACTTGCTGGCATTTTGCATTGTTCTAGAACGTGATGCGGCATGCTAAATAATGCTTGGTATGATATATGTACCCCTGTCGCCCCCTTCATTCCAGCAAACTATATTCCAAAATGAAAGTGGAACATGATTTTGGTAACAGTTTAGCAGTAAAGGTGCTATCCTGTCGGTCTAGATTAAAGACAGGGAGATCACATACCAACTACCATCATGGGCAAAACAGATTCAAGTTGGGGAAAATTAATTTAATTTATTTTCAGTTAAAAAAATAGAGCACAATGGTGAGAAACAAAAATGAAATCATGTTCCCCCTGCCCCTCCTTCTTCCCAGGCTCAACCTGACTCCTTCATTCCTGACTCTTGTAAGTCCTCTGCACTGAGTGATAGGGGGGAATGGGGACTGGGGATTGCAGTTGGTCCAGAATAGCTTCTCACTCCTGCTCCTTCCTCTTCACATTTTTCCCCTGCTCCAGCCCGGGGTCCTCCATAGGCTGTGGTGTGGATATCTGCTCTGGCTTTGTCTCCTCCATGGGCTGCAGGAGAACCTCTGCTCCAGTGCCTTGAGCACCTCCTACTCCTTCTTCCTCACTGACCTTGGTGTCTGGAGGGTTGTTTCTCACACTTTTTTTCTTTACCCCTCAATACTCTGCTGCACATTTTCCCCTTTCTTAAATATGCTTTCAGTGAGGCACCACCGGCTTTGCTGATGGGCTCAGCTGTGTCCTGCAGTCAGCCCATTGTGGAGCTGTCTGGAGCCAGCACTGTCTGGCATGGGGGCAGCCCCTTATCTCTTCTGACAAATGCCACCCCTGCAGCCACTCTCCACCCTCCTGCTATCATCAACATCTTGCCAGTAAACCCAGTACACTGATCACTGAAATGTCTGAGAGAATGGGGATAGTGTAATGTAATCACTGCTCAGTGATTGCAGCACAGCTCTGGCTGTGAAGGGCATGGCACTGTTTAAAGACATTGCATAAAGCATTTTCAGCTACTGGGAATTAAATGTTCTCTGCAAAAATGGCAGAATTTCTGCTCACAAGCTGATTCCACATGGACCTGGTTTTGTAAAGCAAGAAGAAAGCTCTAATTCCTGGAAGGGGGGG